AAGACAGAGGCCTATAATTTTCAACTCTAGGTAAATGTCTGCTGAATTTACAAAATGGGACAAAAATGCATGCACATACCTGCCCACTGGACTCTAGTGCCTGTTGATAATGCATAGCAAGAGAGGCTTCATCCTGGAACACTTCGCTGCATTCTAAACACTTAAGGCTATGTCTGCACAGCTTGGACGGATCCTCATCAAGGGGCATGGCAGCAACTACTGGAGCAGTAGAGGGTGCAGATATAACAGTGCTGAGTGCAGCCGGCGTAGTTTTTGTTACAGAATTTACAGTGCTGGCTGTGGAGTTATGTATGGTGGTGGTGGCAACAACTGAGGAGGGAAAAGGTGAGGCAATCATCTGGTCCGCTGGTATGGGCTTCAAGATCAAGTGAGAGCACTGCATTACCACGCCTTTGTCTTTATGACCACGTGCATGAGAAAGAAGGCTGCACTTATTGTAGAAAACCAAGTTCTTAGCGCAGTGGTTACAGGTCACTTCAATACGAACACTCCTTCTGTCGTAGTGCTGAGTGAGGCTTTTCTCCAAGGCAAAGGAGTCTCCGCATTCCAAGCACTTGTAGCCACGGGAGGGTATGGTAATACAGGCGGCAGAGGGGGGGCTGAGGTTAGGAACATAAACGGGCACTGGGTTAATGCTGCTTAGAACCTTATTGAAGGCTTCTACCACTGAGCTCTGTGAGCTTGCTAGTACTTGTACCCTGGACACCTTCTTCGGAGGCTGGGTGGGGATCATAGACTGCTTGATTGGCTGCTGGGGTTTGGAAAGCACTTGGCGGAGTTCAGAAGCAGTTGTGGTGGTTTGAGGCAGGAGATTGAGATTTGCAAGGTGGACAGTCTTTGGCACAAGTTTCGCATTGGCAAGGCTGGAAGCAGGCACCATGACAGTCTGCTGCTGGATGGCATTGGCAGCTTTTAAAATAGCACTGCTAGCACTTTGAACTGAGGCAGCTGGTATGACTGTAGCTTTTACTGTGGTGTTATTGGCCAGTTTCAGATTAATCACCTGGGAACCCGCTGTCTTGACTGCAGAGACAGGCAGGAAGGCGGTAGCCACTGGCTTAATAGTCATCTGTTTAGTAATTTCAGTTGTTGAACTGGCCGAAGTAGCAACCACTGTTGTTGGCAGTGGAGTTCGGGAAGGGGAGGAAAGGACAGATGTCGAAGTAGGAGAAGACAAAAGAGAAGAGACGACAATTGATGAGGTTTGGTCGATCACTTTTTTACTGCCTTCTTGATCAAACTCCGGCAGGACCCTCGTGACAGTACGCTTAATCTGCCCAGAGGATGTTTTTATTGTTTTTATACGAACTTTGGGAATAGCAGGTGTTGAACCAGCTGGGGAAGATGGGGAGCCTTTACTACTGGTTTCACTGGAAACACTACAGGGGCTTTCTGGCTGTCTTGCAAATACTTTCTTTGTGAACTCCACAGGTGTCTCAGGATCTGCAGACTTCTCAATGATCCTCGGACTCTCCTTAGCTTCCATAGGTGAGTCCCTAGGACTAGTATGGAGCACAGGGGCAGAATCTGTGGTGGCTTTTTTTGCACTAAGAGCAGCAATTGCAGCAATACATGAGGACAGTTTTGCAGATGACTTTGCTTTAGCTTGGGAAACACTTGATGCATTTTGACCCAATTTTTCTCCACTTTCCTTCCCATCTAGAGTCTTCTGCACAATCTCCTTTGCCTTCTCATCAACCTTCCTTGACTTTGGTTGCTCATACAGATTTAAACTACCTAATGCACTTTCATTTTCCCTTTTAATGGTTTTAATTTTGTCATGATCCCCATTTGCCCCAGTTTTTGTTAAAATTTCCCCTACTATCGCTTTAGGTTTGTCCTCATCTCTCTTCACAGCTGATCCTGTGAGTGGATTTGTCCTGAAACTGGACAGATTGTCCTGCTTGTCCAATGGGTCATCAACCTCAATTTTGTCGTCATCATCAAATTCCTCTGCACTGGAGATAGGGCTGAATTGGTTGAATGAAGAGTCTTTCATGGTAGATCCATGTCCATCTTCCTTCAGTGACTTTCCAGCTTCTTTAGCATAGCGGTCAACAGGAGACATGGCTAAGAAGCCATTATGCAACCCATTCCCCATGGAGGGATGAACCTCCTTCTCTGTGGCTGCATGCTCACAAGGATCAATATTGCGGATGTTTTTCACAATAACACTGACCCCAACATCAGGAACCGGTGGAACATGGCTGTCCTCTTCTGTATGGACGTTGTGCTTGATTTGCCCTTCATGATCATCATGGCCAGATTCAATAGCCGCTTTGGGATCAACCATGTCAGGGATATCAAAGGCTGCAAGAAGGTCATCAAAGTCAGGGGTCTTCATATCTCCCATGATCTTGACTGTGTTATTCTATAAATCTGTGTAAGAAATGAATAAACACAAAGTAAGCAAAACACATGCCAGTATGTTGTTTTACTACTTTCTCATAAACAAAATGACCTTTGATAAGCAGTAAGCTGTAAATAAGGAGATTAGACCGTAAACCAAGCACTAATCTCTAGGGTGAATGAAAAACACTCCAGAGGCTTGAACCACACCATCACTTTGACAACAAATCTGGCTGTTGCTAATGTCTTTTGAACACCAAAGTAAAAATCATCTACATGTACATCTTAGAAATTAAGCTGCACAATGGATTTAACATGCCTATTTCAACCATAAAGTGTAACTTTAAATGAGATAAACACTTTAGGCCTACGTATGTATGACAGAATAAAATTGCACCACAACACAGATTTTCTAAAATCATGGGCTTTATTCTCAAATGCACAAGAATTAAATTGGCTAATTCTGATTATGTTTCAAGGTTCATTATGTGGAACAAAATCATCCAATCATATTTGCTGTATTTTAAAACTACAGTATGCCGATGCTGGTTGTTCAATCAGCTACCAGCAACAAGCTAGACTATTAAAGGCACTTTATGGATTTTTAAAAGCACATTATGGATTCTTCCATAAATGAAGATGTATCCCCTTCAATAGAAGTTTTGGCATAAAAACTACACAACGTATTATATATCTTTTTTAAACTACTTCAGCTTTATATCATTACAAAGAAAATGTGCCATGAGTAGTTTATGGTCTTCCACTACATACATGTTTTAAATTAGTTAAGTTACAATACCTGAGGTTGGTACCCTTTTGTTGATGACTCAATAAACATCCCACATACTTCAAAACATTAAAAAAATCATACAACACATGACCCATCCGAAAATCCTATTCCAGGGGTAGTCAAATCTGGCACCTGGATTACATGCTCCAGCAAATTCTTAAGACGTCAAGGTGTCCTGCAGCATCTCAGTTAATTAAGCAGTTAAGGATCACTTCAGTACTTATCCTCTGGAACAGTGTCACTAAATCCAGATCCTAAAGTTAACCACTCTTGAATTATACAAATAATGTAATGTACAGGTTTTATCTTTTAATATTACTAGATTATCCATTATCAGAAAGATGCTTACTGTATTCCGGTTAAGGGACGCAACAACCGGAAGCCCATCCCAGAAACATATGTTGCTAGCTGGGACTGCACCTTTGACCAGACATTAGTGCATCACAGGGCACTCACATATGCACACGGGAGCAATTTATAGACACCATTTAAGCCAGTCAGCATGTCTTTGGAAGATGGAAGGAAACCAGGGTAAATCTAAATACTGACAAATGCAAAAGCATTAACTGTGCTCATATTGGGTTACCAATAGTTCACATCTGTCAAAAAGAGCCATTTCAAACTCTTTCTTTAATGTGTTTTAATAAGAGGTGTACTCGTGTAGCTCATAAGGCAATGGGCAAAACATGTTGAGTATGACTGTGCTGGCACGGAGCCATAGCAAAACTCATGAATGATAAGGTGAAGCTTCGAGTCCCTGTTCACTTCCTTGCTTTGTTTGCCTTAAGACGGCAGTTTTTTTCTTTGAGTAGCATACACAGTTAAAAAGGAATAAATTGTTTAAGTAAAGTGAGACATCCAAAAGTACCATGTATATCTCCTCTGAAATGGTAAGAGGAACATATTTTCTAGTACTGGTGTGAACTTCTTTATGCAGGTTTTTTTCATTCTACAGATGACTTATCTTATACACAACTAAAATATCTCTTGAAGGTCTCTTGTATTTAAAGTGGACATCTGTTTTCACAGGTAACATACACATTTGTTTTCCTTTAACAAAATATGTACAGTATTGTATTGTAGTTGAGGCAACTTTGTTCATATGAACTGTATGGAGGGGGGATTAAGAGCTAAATATGATAACATTAAAATCAACATACATTGGGGACCTTCAATGTAACCCTTTTTGGTTATTTTGGTTATTTTTTCCCTCCTTAAAAAAATTCTTAGTATTAAAAACATTCCATGAATAACCCCTGAAAACCCACTTGTGAGATTCAGACTAAAACATAACGTTATAAATGAGAAGAGGCCATTTGACCAGCCATTTGGTTGCTTAGCAGCTTATTGATCCAAAGATCACATCCATCTGGTTTCAACAGCATGGCTTGAAACTTGTTCTAGACACCCACTAACCTTTGTGTAATAACTGCCTCCTGCCGTCGGTGTTAAATTTCCAGCTGTGACTTTGTGTTCTAGCTTAAGTTCTGGGCATAAAATAATTCATTGGTTTGATTTTGTCAACCTTGTTCCCGATTTTGGAAACACCTCTATGAATTCCCCTCATGATCTCTGTCCACAACTGAAAAGAATTAATTAATTATTGTGTATGACATCCACTTTCAATCTGAAATTATTCTTGTTACTCAACTTTGCACTCTTTCTAAGGTATTGATGTATTTTTTAGAATATGGCAATCAGAACTGCACATCATATTCTAAGTAAGGGCTCACTAGTGTATTATATAACTGTACATGACTTTATCTGATTTTAATCCTACACAGTTACACAATCCTACACTGTATTTTCCCCAGGATTTTGCAGGCCATTTTGTTTCTTCTCCACATTGTCTGGATAAAGACAATGATGAGTCAACATACAGTACATGCACATAAAGACCCTTTGTTGACTGCTTCCTCTTGTTGAGTGCAACCTGTCCAATATTTATAATATATAGAGCATATAGGAACAGGTAGAAATTAATTCCATGCAGAAAGAAAGAAAACATTTCAGCTGTTAAGCCTTCCTTAGGTGTGATAAATAGAAACAAAGATCAAAACCCAGCTAAAAAGGAATGATTCTACATACCAGTGGTGAAAATAAACAATAGGATATAGCATTTCTTTACCCAATTCAGCACATAAATTATAATGTATTTATTTATAAATGACACTATCTACAGTCAAAGTGTTATTAAAGTGTGCAGTTCCAAAATTATTCACTATAGCAGATGATAATATAATAATAATAATTGCTTACACTTATATAGCGCTTTTCTGGACACTCCACTCAAAGCACTTTACAGGTAATGGGGACTCCCATCCACCACCACCAATGTGCAGCATCCACCTGGATGATTTGACGGCAGCCATAGTGCGCCAGAACGCTCACCACACATCAGCTATCAGTGGGGAGGAGAGCAGAGTAATGTAGCCAATTCATAGAGGGGGATTATTAGGAGGCCATGATTGGTAAGGGCCAATTGGAAATTTGGCCAGGACACCGGGGTTACACCCCTACTCTTTTCGAGAAGCACCCTGGGATTTTTAATGACCACAGAGAGTCAGGACCTCGGTTTTACGTCTCATCCGAAGGACGGCGCCTGTTTACAGTATAGCGTCCCCATCACTATACTGGGGCATTAGGACCCACATGGACCGCAGGGTGAGCACATCAACACACAAATATGTTGCACGTTTGCATAAAGAAGGGTTAAAAATGCCACTATCACCATGACAGTGATCAGAGATGGCAAACAAAACAGTTTAAATAAAAAACAATAAGAACAACAGAATATGAGAGGAAATAATTTAATGATTTGGAAGCACTGCTATTAAAACAGTAAAACGTTACAGATACCAGAATCCCCAGATATGGTACATGAGCTCATTTTTCCCATGGAAACCCTCTGCTGTACCTGACAAAGAGCCGGCAACCATTTTCTGCCACAATGAGAAATTTGATTAATTTAAATCCTGTAAAATGTAGTTTGAAATCTAAATTCAGGATTTGTTTTTCTTTACTAAAAGGATGCATTTTAAACTGAATAAAAATCACTAATTCATGATTCACTTCAAAAGCAGAAGCAGTGTCTTACACTACTTGGTCAAACTTCACAGATTTTCTAACAAACTTAATACCTCATCACACAAGCATTATGAGACACAGATTGGCTTGAACTTACAGAAGAAAATTCCATCTGACTTAAAGGAAACACTGAAATGGCAGAAGTCCAGCTTTACAGAGGTCATTTTCTGAGGAAGTCTTCCTTTTAAATATAAAGGCAAGGCTACATTCATCCGTGTGACAAAGGCAAACAGAGTTACTACTGAATGGCAGAATCATTGGGTGGTGGATGAAGAGAGAAAAAACCTGAAATTAAAAAAAAAAACAAAAAGATAGAATGCAAAGTTTGAAACAAATATAGTTTACAGTTTGCCATTACACAAAACAGAAAAAAATTGTAACTAAAGTATATTCTCACTGTGGAATATTACAATTAACAACTTTCCTTTGAACATACAAAAGCCTACAAGCTCAACACAAAGATAACTCATTTTCAGCTCATTCTAAATTAACAACACACTGGTACATTTTACCTAAGATATAAAAGATATAAACCTAAAAAAATAAACAAAAGGAATCTGTTCACAATAACCATCCAGTAAACATGCAAACAATATCATCAGAGCAACTACTCTTTAAACATGTTCAACTGAAAATTCAACCGAGTCGAAAGCTGAAGTTTTCAGCCAAAATGGACTCAATTATGAAATTACCAGTTTTATACCAGTAGCTGAAGAAATTACATTTACAATAAATCATGCTTAAAATTCTTCACAGTACAGCAGAATCAAAATACAAAAGAATCCAGGACAATTACTTAACATACTAGAATGGTACAAAGTGCATTTTTAAATCATCCAGACATTTTAAGTAATAAATAGCCAGTCAATTCAAGTATCACATTATAGGTTAGGCTTTGTTGTAATCTCATTCAGACAGTGGTTTTCAGATCAAAATGGGCAGTACTTTTAAGAAAAGAAGGATTTGGTCCCTCACTAACAGGAGAGTGCCAACATTCAGAAAAGGTTGCAATATGTTTTTGTGGAGGTTTTTATGATCAGACTCAGTGTGTTTGAGGGGGTGACATGATTTAAAGAGGGGCAAGCTGGATTTATGATGCCCCCAAGTCAGGAAAGCCAAGCAAGGCTGGGAATGAATGCAGCCATTATTGCTG